GTCTCCTCAGATTGACAATTAAAAGATTGTTTGGTTTTAACAACTGAGTTTATAATGTAAATTGGCCGCTGTGAAGAGTTTCAAAGCTGACGATTCGAGCGCAAGCCGTATGTCAGAGCGAAAGACTCGTCAGAGCAAAAAACCAGAAGACTAGTCTGAATCCACACCCAGCACATGTTAACAAAGGATAGAAGTAAATTTTGCAATGGTTTATTTCACCTTTGAAAAAGAATCGTTACTAGCTGTTCTCATGACTAATTTAATTTCATATTCAGATTTTTGATCGCTTTCTAATTTTCTTGAAGCAAAATTTCATCAAGTTTTTGCTCCTTTTTTCTTTAACTAAACCTCTGTGGTATTTTTATCAACCATATGCAGCCGCGCCTCTTGGGAACCAGGACCTCTCGTTTCATCAAACTGCAATTTGATTGGTCAGTAAAATAACAAACCAAAAACCGTACGCTTTACTGTGCATTGGCTTACGGAAAACGAACTGTTACTATCAAAGTAGTTATAATTCGCGAGTTTTGTTCGCTTTTCTTAACCTTTCGATTAGAGAAAGATTCAAACGAATGGCATCGGTGAGAACTGTTTTGTAAGAAATTTGCAGAATTCGGCTTTCAAGTGCTGATCAATGCTTCTTTTACACGCATTTCAGACTAGTTCGAACGTCGAGAATCTTCATCCTCAAATCCTCAAGCAAGTTATGAAAGAGCTGAGGAGTTTGTCTTGCGATCCTCCCGAAGGCATCAAGATTTTAAGTAACGATGAAGATATAACAGACATACAAGCAACAATAGAAGGCCCAGGTATGTTTCTTTAGTGTTTGAGGAGAGAATATCTCGCAATTCAATAAGAAGCTTCAAGCGGTTCTGGTAGATACAGATTATATGCTGTTAAATTTGAATTCTCGTTCCCTTTAACTTTTGCCTGGCTTGAAAATTTAACCGTGGAACGCATTTTTTTCTAACATTAACAGCTGGCACCCCTTACGAAGGAGGACTCTTTCGTGTGAAATTAGTTCTTGGGAAGGATTTTCCTGCCAGCCCTCCAAAAGGTAACAAGCTAGCTAATCGAATGTGAAAATGTTAGTATTGTCACTTTTCAAATCAATGGCCATTCCACTTTTGTACTCTGTCTTTCGTTCTTCCTCTGTATTTCTTTTTAACATAAACTGCATTGGCTTGAAGGTATTGACTTTCCTTTCACCCATCGATTGTTAAAATGTTATATTTACTGGTTTAATGGATGATCAAAATTTCTAACCTTGAAGGTGATTTGACAGATCTTGGAGCCTCTGTTTATATAGCAGCCCTAATCTATAATAATTAACAAAAATGATTTTGAGACATTCGGTTTTCCCTTTTTTCCAAAGTGATGACAAAAGTCTTGTCTTTTTAGTGGAACATATCTTCACCTCTACTGAGTGATTATAAGGAAAGTTATGCTGCAAAAAATACAGCTGAGTATTTTTTGTTAGTTCTCATTTATTTCAGCAAGGTTTAAGTGCTCAGATTCACCATGAGGTTGTATTTTTAGTTTTCATGTTGTGTATTTGTACAGTTCTAAGAGTGCTCAAAAGTTGCTAAATTTGTGCATGTGACTTTTGTTTGCTGTTGTGTTTTTCTCTTCAGGAATAAATAACCTTTGTAAAATCATCCACTTCCCAAGCGAGTATTCAGTGCTTTGCCAGTTTCACTGTCATGGTGTGACTTTTCCAATCACCTTGACTTTTTTAAAAAAGAACACTATGAAGTTTTAAGTGAACAGATCACTATAATAAAAATTTCCAGACACTACAGCAGTGGTGACCCAAGAGGAGACTGTCCTTGCTCGGGATTTGTCAAACTTGATTCTAAATTTTTGGAGTTTATAGTTCTTGTTACTATTTGTTTATGAACTTTTTGTTTCTGAGGCATGGCCAAAACTGTTTGAGTGTCAATATGAAAGTGAACATTTTTGCTTTAGTGGGTTATTTTTGAAAACCAAGCGCAAACCATTTACTTCAAGAAATGATCAACCTGTAACTTCTTACTGTAACATTTGTACATTATTCAACAAACCAATATTGAGAATACTCAAACTTATCAGGTAGAAGTTGTTATCATGATCTAACACCAAATTCTTGTGACTAATTTACAAGGAAATGTGTAGCACCTGGTGGGAAATTAATAATCAAATCTTGGAAGTTAAACAATTTAGAATTTGGAAAACATGATTTTAGTAAAACAGAAATCACATTTAAAAATTTAGTACTTTGTAGCACTCTCTGAATGACCCAAGGATTGATAGATTTTTTGATACATACCCTTTATCTATATATACATTGCAGTTAGATGATTCAATTAGGTTTAGACAATAGGGTAGTTGTAAAACTGTAATATTATACAAAAATACTTGTAAAATAATGATAGAAGTGAAACTGAAATATTTGGAGAGCACCAAAGGTCATCCTCTGACTTTGAAGTGTTCTGCTCTAGCTTTCTTCATTTATTATACCAGGGTTTATTCTATTTTACCCAGAAATCTTTATAAGGGCAATGGCTGTCATCTAAGGATCCCCATAAATCTGTGCAGGAAAAGAAGTGACCCTCTTGTGTATTCCTCCAAATCCTGACCAATCCCCAACATTCCCTCAGATGGGTGATGAAAATGCATGAATCCCCCTAACTCCACTGGACATGAATAGCTACCACTAATGTATTAAATCCCTACCAAAGCCCCCTTAATCAGTACTACTACAATTTCCTCAAATGTGATCAGTGCAATAACTACTTTATTTTTCACTAATTATTTTGTGGAGATGTAATCAAACAGTTGGCTGTAATTGGACAGTTCAAGCAGCCAATTGTATTAAGTTCACTCAGCTAAATCCACCAATCACAGAATCAATCACAATAACCATTGCAACAACCTCTTATCCTAAGAATAAGGATAGAATGGAGAATTTCCAAATAAAAGAATTTTTAACTTTAAACATTGTCTCCACTGGAGATATTTGTTGTAGATGTTTTTTTTTTTTTGTTGTTGTTTTTTTTTTTTTTTGCATAAATTGTATTGGTTATGGTTAATTGGTAACAGGACTTGATGTCATCTAATTCTGTCTATAATCATACTCATGATTAACCCTTTAACTCCCAGAGGTGATTGACATGTGAATTCTTACCTAAAATATCTGTATATAATCCAGCAAACATGCAACAATGAGAATAATCAAACTTATCAGGCCGAGGTGTTATTTTGATCTAACACCAAATTCTCGTGACTAATTTACAAGGAAATGTATGGACGTTATTAGGGAGAATTAACTATCAGATCTAGATCTTGGGGGTTAAACAAAACAAAATTAACAACAAAAATCAATTAACTAAAAAAATTAGACTCTCGCTTCACGGTTGTCCAATTTTGTCAATCACTCACATGATTACAGATGTAATTAGACTTCCTATAACCATTATGTAGCTGGAGTAAGGCATAAATTTCTAACTTTTACCCCTTTCATGATATTTAATTGTACACTTTTCCATTTGCTTCTTCAGGATTTTTTTCAACCAAAATATTTCACCCAAATGTTGCCAGTAATGGAGAAATCTGTGTAAACACATTAAAGAAAGATTGGAAACCAGATCTTGGTGTAAAGCATATATTATTGGTAAGTTTATTTAATTGTATGCACTTGCAAAGCAAGCTTTATGATCTTTTTGAACAGCGTTTGGATAGCTCATGTTGTAGAGTGTTGGACTGGCATGTGGGAGGGTGGGGGTTCAAGCCCCAGACTGGACCAATGCTCTCAAAATAACTGAGGAGAGTGTTTTGCCTTTGCTTTGACATCAGCAAATGGTTAGAGATTCTAGTCTTCTCGGATAAGGATGATAAGTGGTAGTCACTGTCTCCTGCCTCTTCTCTGAAATGGTTAGAAGGGGACATTAAAGAACTCATGCACTTCTTGCAAAGAGTAGGGAACAAAGCTCCCAGTGTTGTGGTCTGGCCTTGTCATTGTCTACACAAGCCCCTATTTAAACTAGCTCTGCACTGAACTGGGCCAGCCTGCCTAAAATATCACAAATACATACAAATACATTTTTGGCCTAAGATCTCACACAGGATCTAAAGAAAGAAAAACAAGTTGGAGTAAAAGCGAGAGCGCCCTTGTGGAGCAGGTCTGCACTTGAGTCATGTGGTCCATCTAGCTGGAACTTATTCCTGTATCTGTGACATGAAGTGACTAGGAGTATTACCACTCCCCCTAAATGGGATACCATTCCATTGCAAGGTCAACCCCAGCATTTCATCAAGCTTTCCTGACAGTCGGCAGATACCCATTTAAACTCTAGGGTGGAGAGAAGCACTACAGAAGTAATTTAAAGTGTGTTACCCAAGAACATAACACATCGACCCACTAGGTCTCGACCTGTGGTCTAGTGTACTGGCTGTAAGGCCATCCTAAGGAGAGGAGAGTGGATTCCTGGAAATGAATGGAAGGCTGCGATAAATGCATTTCAATGCAATATGTACTTGTATCTGAAAGCCTGTTTTCATTCCATCCCAAGTATTGTTGGTTTTGAGCCAAAATAAAATGCACACTTTATATGTTCATCACCAGATCTGGGTGACAAATCAGAAAAGACAATAATTATTGTAAAGACTCACATTTTGGCCTCCATAAGTTTTTTGTAAACCCTCCATCTACAAGCCCTGGAAACTATAAGCCCAGGGGTGGAGGAAAGGGGGATGGGGGGGTTTATCATTGTCTAGGGAAGCATTTTCGTTCAATGTTTTGCATTGGAGAATGATTCATGTTTTAAAATTTGACTCTTCTTAATTGCCTTTTGGTAGACTATAAAGTGTCTTCTTATTGTCCCAAATCCTGAATCTGCATTAAACGAAGAAGCTGGCAAGCTGCTCCTAGAGAGATATGATGACTATTCAAAACGAGCTCAGTGGTGGACAGATATCCATGCCAAGACCAGTCACTGTACTAAAATGGAGAGTATGGAAAAAGGGGAAAGTGTTGAAGCTACTCAAGGGATTAAAAGAGCTAGTGATAAAGCACTAGACAAGAAGAAAAAAGACAAGAAGAGAGCTTTAAAAAGACTCTAATAGATGCTTAATGTCTCAATTATTGAAGTAATCATGATAATAATTCTATCATATGTTGAGTGTACAGTGTATATATATAATGTGGAGCTGCTCACACATTTATACAGAAAAAGATCACTCCTGCGAGGGTAGTGATTTTTGAAGTGAATAAATATTAAAACATTTAATTTTAGTTTTGATTTGATTGATTACTGCTGAAGTAAGTCCAACAAAGGGGTAAATATATTTTCTTCTTGCAGAATGCACTTCTAAAATGCAATATCTCAGGTCAGGCACAAACCATTTGACTACTCTATTCCATCTTTGATGTAAACCTTAACTCAAGAAATGTTTCACCTTTACATATAATTCTGTGATCTTATTTTACAGAATTTTACTTTTCCTTTTTTCGGGATCTGTGTGTTAATTTATTGCGGAGTTTCTTATGAATTAGCTTTTGAATTTAGTGGTGCATCAAGGAAAACGAACTTAGATTTCTTAAAATAAAATTTTTGCCTAATCAGGCATCCTGGTCTGGTGTCTTGTGTGTTCTGTGTAAAGGCTTAGTCAATTTTTGTTGTCATGTAAATATTGTTCATAAATTTAGTAATTTGTAGAATTTTATGCCACTCCCCTTAAAAGGATGAATGTAAGTCAAATTATACCTTATACCTCCTCATTTTGTTTTGAAGCATTTCATGAAGTTAGAGGTTTACCAATTATACAAAGATCAGTTGTTCTCTGAAGTTAGTATGCAAAATGATGATTTGAGACTTGCAAAAGTTGTGATTCACCCCCAAGATAGAGATATCAATTATCTTAACTGTCAGCAATACATTTCATAGAATTCAAGCACTGTGAATTTGCTGTCAAGTAAACCTATATCCCTTGTTTATACATATTCTTTTGTTAATTTTAATACTTGCAATTGTAATCATGACACTGTAAGGAGAAATTCCTTTTGTCCCTTTTGGTAGTGAGAAAGCAGAGGTGAACAGTAAGCCCGACTCATACTTGCTCATAATAAAGTGTGAGTAACCAGCATGGGTGACATGGCAATGTAAGAGATAATGCATAGAGATATATAGAGCAAGAGAGGGAGAGTCCTCTCCTTCCCATTCCTTCACCAATTTCTCAGACAGAGTACTCTCATGTGGGGTCCTCTCATTGAGAAGACAACTTGGGAGAAACAAGCCATTCTTCAAAAGGGGCACATTACAGTTGGACCCTGAATATGGTAGTCTGTTGACAGCCCTCATTATTACCACTTCGGCACTATGCTGGTGTTTTATTCACTTGTGGTATGGTACAAAGCCTTGAGTGACTCAAGCAAGCTAGAAGTCCGTAAGGGGTCAAGCACTGATTAATAAGCATTCCCTCATTATTAACACCTTGGGCGTGAGGGAATACAACAGATCATCAAAAAGCCCTTGACCTGAATTTTGAGGTTTCTACTATCATTCTACGTCGGGTTAGAGAAGGGTATCGGTTCCCTTACCGTAAATGTAAGAGTCGGTGGAAAGTAGCAAATAATATTCTGCAGCAGGTTTCACACAGCGCACTCTGGGGATCTGTTCACTCGATTTGATTGGGGGCCCTGGATTAAGTTGGGTGTCCTGAGGTCTCTAACCAACCTTGTCCATATTAGGAAACGGAGGAAGCGATTCGGTCCCATTCCCACTCCGAATGCGGTATTAAATCATATTTGTTCTCGAACGTCTAACATTATTCATCTAGTAGGAAGTTCATCACATTCGGGAAGAGGGAAGAGGTTGCAAAATGGAAGCTGTAGCGAAGCATGAATTCCAAGCTACCGCAGAAGATGAGCTTTCCTTTAAAAAAGGCTCGATTTTAAAGGTAAGTCGAAGCTAGAATGTCTTCCTTGTGCAGACGCCATTGCTCAATATAAACAAGGATGCCTATACCGCTTATAAATTCCCCCACAGGGGAGCTTATGATTTTGTCTCGTTTGGTTGCCGTTTTAGGTTATCAAAACAGATGACGATAAAAATTGGTACAAGGCTGAACAAGAAGGGCGGTTGGGACTTGTTCCAGCGAACTACATCCAGTTGAAACCACACAGGTCAGTATAGAATGCAGATACGTGTACAAACTCGTTTAAACATTTTTCTGCTTTGTGGTTTTTCACCGATTTGAGGTATATAGACTACACTCTTGAAGTGAACTGTCCCTCCTGCTTAAGTTATGCCCGTAGGTCAGCATGTTTACAAGTTTATGAGAAGAATCATTTCAGATAGAAAACAGCGTATTTTGACAGAAAAAAATGACAACTGCGGTTACTACATAATTCGACCCCTATCGCTGTAGTCAGATTGTATGTTGATCATCAATTCGATGCACCCGGAACCCAAAATGTTATATTCCATATCAGTTCAGAGGATGATTTTTTTTAGTTTGAATCCTTGCGCTCAAGGTTGAATGTTTATTTGGGAATTAGTGTTTAAAGTGACCTTTGTCTCTGCCAAGTTGATAAGCTGTTAACATTTTAAAACCTTCATTACTATAATGAAATAGTCAGACTACTGGTACGTTGAAATACCCGATTATCATATACGATAAGAATAAAACAAGCAATCTTTTTCCCTGGAAAAACCCTTCCAGAAACTCTACTTTGTTCTTCCTTGTCACCTTGTGAAATATGTAATAGTGCATTAT